CAACAACAACAACAACAACAACTCTTTATTTGTACCTTTGACAAAAGTTTACAATTGTGATCCTGACTAAATTAAATTACAGTAGGTACTGGCCCTAACAAATAACTTGGAAGCTAAAAATGGGTTAGGACCAGGAAACAGTTATACATTTTACATTGTTAAGATGACGGAGCTATATTCGACGGAAAGAGATATGTTACAGATAACACGCACACACATAAAACACACACACAAATGTTTTGGAGGAAGATATAGATAAATATAAATATTAGATACAATTTTAATACAGTATAAAAGAATAATTAAATTGGAGAAAACTTAGAATTCTGGCAAACAGCTAATAATCATTCAAAGTTTTACTTTTCATCTTGGATTTAAATTGCTGAAAATTAGAATTTTTAATGCAATCTGGTAGTGCATTCCATATTTTAGGTCCTTGGAATTTAATATAAATTTGCCATAACTCGTTCGTGCCTTTGGCAAATAAAAGTTTCCATAATGCCTTGCTTTGTCAGCACAAATATACTGAAAAATATTATTGACTATACATTTCTTTTTACAAAATGGAAGCCATTTTTTATGTTTGTGCGTTTCAACGCATGCGCGTCGCCATCTTATCCACATCTTTGGCAATGCAATCTTGTTTTTATAGAAACTCCTGTTTTTATAGTTACTCGCACCTTCCGGTTAAAATATTGGATTGATTGCCTTACCTAATTACGTGGGCTTCCTGTGGAAGCACACGTCTAAAAATGCAACTGGTGTTTTCGTCGTCGTGGTGAATATTACGCTTCAAATTGGTAGCGCATCGATAGCGCATGCGTTACAGTCTCAGTTTCCATGGAGATGTCAAAATAAACCAATCAGTGATTTTTGGTAGCGCCTGCGTTGCAGATGGACTGCAGTCTCAGAATGAAAACAAAATGGCTGACAGACGGCGGCAAAAAGTTGTCTCGTTTGAAATGGTCCTAAAATGTAGCTAAAATGCTCTAAAGAGCTGAAAATCTTACAAAATCAACTGATTACCATCCAAATGACATGGATAGAGGTATATAATTCAAGATTAGCGGATGATTCGTGCAGAAATGACTGGGCATTTTCTACTGCCGACTCGAATAGCACTACTTCTTCGTCACACAAGTGCTGGATGTCAAACACAAAATCTTCAAAAATAAGAAATCACATGGATATTTAAGGTTCATACTTTGACAGAAAACAATCATTCGATGGAAGAAAGCATATCAAACCTCATCTGAAAAATATTGATGCCATTTTATAAACTAACGATGTGTTTGAAGTTCGGAAAACTGCACGTGTGAGCTTTACTGAACTCTGTATACAAAATCTATATTGTGGATTGTTTAACTTGAAAAACTTAGACAAATCCAAAAATATGAACTGTCATTAGAAGGCTAACGTACACCTTTATGATGGCACAGAACGCCAGATTTACAAATTAATGAAAAACACCAAATAAAAARGAACAGAAACACAAGATACAGATACATGATTAAAATGATCAAAATATTATTCAAATTTATACTGCCAAGACTATACCGTTTCTATTGTTTATGTGAACTATATGACCTATCAGATATTTTGAATAATATAGACGCTCTTGAGCGTAAAGTCGAGCTAGTTATTTTGGAAAACTGAGAAAGACATGGTATTCAAAGAATTTACTTAGAGTTCAGTTCGGTAAAAAATTATGTTGTAATAAATTGATAACGTCTTGACTTATTACAAACAAAGACTATATTGTGAAAATGAAACACCATTGTCACAGGAAGCCCACGTAAGCGATCCATGATCGTCTAGTTAAGTAAGAGTTACATACCGAGAACGGAGGCAATCAGCCTATACATCCCGAGGGCCGTTTTCATATGAATTAAAAACAAAAACCTCGATTAGAAAGGTTACGAAATTTACAGTATTGACAATTCCCAACGGGAATAATTTGCATAACCAATTTTCTCGTTAGTCCCATGAGACCAATGCTAACAATACACCTTTTGTAACAAGTAACTGGACAATAGGACAATAACATGACTTTTGAAGGGCATATTGTTTATTTGCGGCCCGAGTAGCGTCATTTGCGCCCGAGCGAAGCGAGGGTGCAAATGACGCTACAAGGGACGCAAATAAACAATATGACCGACAAAAGTCATGTTATTCTCATTATCATCAATAAATAAATGAATTTCACTCAACTTTATTCAATAAATTCCATGTCTCCAGAATCGATAGATTGTTTATGATTTGGTTTTACATTCATTTCTTTCGTGGACAGCTTTGCTTTCGCTTCAAACATTTTGTTAGCAGACATGAAGGCGCTGTCTTAGCGGAGCCRATGTTAAATGGCGATGTATGGCTKCTCTTAKTCCTGTCAATGCACTTGGGGTCAGGGGCTGTCCTTTTTCTGTTTTAACCTCTGCGTAAAATTTCCTTAGAACTTCGTTAAGTTCTTTTGGAGCAATAGTTTTCAAGTCAACACTGATTTGTCGTTTTTCACTCCACTTGAAAAACTTTTTCAAGCCCCATTCAGTTGCTCTCTTTGTGTTTTTGGCTTGAGCTTGAGCTTCTATTACGTCAAGCTGCTCTTGGCCTAAGTCAGAACCTTGATTATTCGCTACTTCCAGGTCGAAATTAGGATATTCTGCCATATTTTTGAGTGATAAATCGTTTCAAAAACTCAAACTTGAGTCGCAGCGAAGAACAACTCGCGCGCTTTCAAATTGTTATCACAATGAAATCTGATTGGTCGAGCACGATCGTAAGACCCTCGTTGGGCCAATCAGCGACAGGGCTGATACGAAAAGATTTGCAGCCCGCCAAAATCATTATCGGCCCGCTAGGTGCGTGTTTTTATGAGGGCAGTTTATTATTTGGCCTTCTATAATGATGATAATGTTAAATAACTGTTTTATTCCATAACTGACATCGATTAGTAAGTTAGCATAACGTGTTAAGTATAGGATTTTCAAAGCTAAGGTGGTTGTGGGTTAGAATCTACTTGGTGTCATTTGAATTTGTCTTTCTTTCTTTCAAGTTTCAGACGGAAAATTTCTAAGTTGAACGTAGTGGTTAATTAGGTATTCAAGGGCAATATACATTAGTATTCAAGGGCAATATATAGATATTGCCCTCAAATGGGGGCAATATATAGATATTGCCCTGAAACTTCGATATAAAGCACTTGAATACACATTGAGCTGTGAAATAAGCGAGATACAACACTATGAATAACAAAGAAAACTGAATCAAGAATGAAATAAACCGCCTTATATACTTAATGATGAAGGCCTAGTGTCTCCTGTTGCAGCAAATGACTTAAAAAAGTACTTAGATGCCGAATGCTTTTAGTCCTTATGTTTTTTTATGTGCATAATACTTTACAAGCGAATGGTTTTTTATCTTTACAGTTAGAATCAATCCACCCCGTACTCGTGGTTCGTCCTAATTTCAGTGTGCAATCTTCAACTTTACCAGAATCATTTGGTTCTCCTCGAAGCCAGTTTGTGTAGCCAGATTTGGTCTCGTCAAACCAAGCGAAGGTTCCTTCTTTATCAAGGTCGTTGAATCCGATCCAAAAATCGTCCACTTGGCCGAGCCCTAGATAGAGAATAGAAAAAGTTGAGTTAAAAACTTGCCTGACTGTGTTTGCTGTAAATAAAAAACTTCTTTAAAATAAAATGAAAGTATGTTTGTCCCGTGTCGTTGAGAGTGCTTAATACATTATGTAGAGCGGAATATATAAAACAAACATAAAACATCTCTCTGCCCTTGTGGAAAAAGTACAAAAAAAACGCCCTATCAATCATAAGTCCTGGTTTGTCCTATGACAATGCACTCAGTAGGTTTAATTTGCCTTCTCTGGAAGAGCGCAGAATATCTTTGTGCCAAATATACATCGAGAACGTGAATGATCCTGTACGAAGTCTAATTAAATCCAGAACAACAGAAATCAGCCATTCTTACGAGTTGAGGACAACCTCCAAATACCAAAAAATATCACGAGAACTGATAGACTTAAAAATTTTGTGTCTGTTAAGTATCTGTAATGTAGTTGTTAATGTTAGTTGTTAAATGTTGTTACATCAGTTGCGCTCATCCTGTAATTCAGTGTTTTTCTCT